CAACAATGTTTTCGTCGTTGTTCATAGTGAATAGCTTGTAGGTTACATAGCCTACGGTAGCTAGTCCTCCAATAACAGCTCCTCCAATCAGAACCGTCTTCAAATTGATTTTTTCAAACATTTTGAAATATTGTTTTAGCGCACGGTGAATGCGAGTCAAAACTAACGTAACAACGCAATTGTGACGTCACTTGGTAATTAGATAATCAGGTTAATCAGACTCTGAGTGACGTCACTCGTTCGACCCACGCTCTCTCTGTCTTATTCAGACGAGTATTTTATGAAAGTGAAGGAGCTGGAATCTGTACAATTGTAATTGTAGAAAATATCATTAATCAATGAAGTTGCCATGGAAAGGAAATATACAGACAGCGGTCAAGTCACGTCCATTTTTTAACACCAAATTCTCCAAACTTCCCGTCTATCAAAATATTTTTGTCGTTGCTCATAAAAAAAATCCTGTAGGTTAATAGCCGCGGTAGCTATGAAACGCTAATTTGAAACCCTAAAAGGGAGTTTAATTATCCCCGTACTCTTTCATAAGGGAGTACTTCTCACTTGTCCCATCGCACACATGTAATATGTCTAGTGTGTGGGTACTCTATATAGTCCGTACTTCCAGATAAAGACTTCTGACCCTTTTACGTCACTACTTGATTTCCAATGCATTATGGGGCCAGTTTCTAGAGAAAAGAAAAGAAATCCGCCATGTTTTGTCTCAAACATGTCCTACAATGCATTGTATATATGGTGCATGACGTAAAAGCTTCAGAGGTCTATTGTTGGTGAACGGTAATGCTTATATAACGAACTTAGRACTAGGCTTTGGGGATGTGACTGCATGATGTTGAATATAGCTATCTTTTGTTTTATTTTCAGTGATCTTTGTAGAACTTGCGCTTTAMGAATGGAGCAGTGCCCTATTTGTCGCCAGGAAATATCAGCATTGGTRCATGTCGACCCACAAATAAATGAGGACTCATAACACGAATGAATTAGATATTATTTTAAATTTTGTAATAAATTGTAAGTAGCTAAAAAATATCACATATCGCTGAAGCAATGGCACAAGATAAATGTAAACATGAAGAATGCTCACAGAAACACAATTGTTGTTTTTATATAATTATGTAGTAAAGTACCCTTAACAATTACTGAGATCAGATCATAGGGCAGAGTGGAGGCACTAAATACGTGAAACAAATATTACTACTTCCAATGAATAGTGATGTTTAGCAAAATAGAAAGCAAAGGACTAATTTTTCATAATTTAGTRCTATGTTTGTTTAAGGATTACGTGTGTTCGCTGTAGCAGAAATAGAACCGGGTACCAGGACCTCTCGAAGGGGATTGGGGCGCGGCAGCACAAGGTTGTCGATCACGCTCCTCGGTCCCACGTCTACGCAAATAACCGAAAAGTATTATGGAAGGAAATCTTGCAATGAGTGCGCATTATCAACAAAATTGTTAAGAAAGACTGAAGCAAAAATGGATCGGTGATTGATGAAAATCTTACTGCCATTGCTCATTACACCTACTCCTTTTAGGTCTTGTTGCGTGATATCGTAATGAGATCGAGTTTTACTGTTGCGGTTGCCAGTTGTAATATGTTCAAAAACGAAGAATGAATAAATATTTCAAATCAAATTATTATTTTTTTCTTACTGTTTGATCTATTTTAAATTTTTTCATAATAGACGATATGAAATAGTTCATCTGATGATAACGTCACCATATATCGGTCATTGTAATGTGTGTGGCGAGGGCGTAAACAAAATGTTTTTTCTCCACATCGAATTATTGTGAAAACGTTTCCTGTTGGGTAGCACCTTCCTTTGTCCCACCTCTGCTAATCCATGTCAGTTTCTTCACTATCCCGTGATCATGATATACTTAACCTGGACAGATCAAATTGCTAAATTCATTATGATATCTTTTACTCTTTATTTTGTATATCTTTTTTTGATTGTGTATATATTTTTTCATTTTTGTTGTTATTGTTGCTTTTCTTGTAATTTACAAGTCAAGTTAGGCTATATTATCGAATGGCTATGTTCATAATGTGTTGCTATGACAACATCCATATCTGGTTTCATATTTAATATCTTGACCACGACAAACCATGTTGACTTTTGCTTTTGTGCTAGTTGTTGGTTTTACATTTGCCTCTTTGAGTCACAGCTGCCTGCAGGGAGTGTGTAATTGCTTCAAAAATCTTGATTTGGTGGATTGCTCGGCTCGTAGTCTAACCGATGTACCAAAAACAAGTGAGCCTTTGTTGTACTCTTCGGTTTCTTTCAAACATAATCTGATTGTAAACATTAACATTTCATCCTTACTTCAACAATTTCCAAAGTTGAAGAACGTAGATTTTAGAGGAAATCCTTTAAACTGTCTGAATCTCCAGTCACAGAGAATCCCGCCCTTAAGAATTGTTTCAAGATGTGCTCTAATGCCAACATTACGTCCATCCGCAAGCCTTGTGTTACAGCCATCACTGTCAATCGAACAATCAAGTACAAAATTGATTTACATACAAACAATTCCTAATTCCACTGCTGTTCCACGGTCAAATGTTACCAAACATGCTACAGTAATAACTCCTAGAACAAGTACAGTTTCACGTTACATATGCCTGGACCCCATTGGGCCAACAGTTACACTACACCTTTTAATCATAATTGGAATCCTTGCTTTACTTCTATCCGGGTTTGTAATCCTCTTCATTTGGAGACTCTACCGCCCAAGACCTCCAATACAATCGACATGTGAACTTGTTACTCGCACAGCCCTAACCACGAGCGATTGCCAGCATTGCAAGCTCAGTGAAATTCATTTGCATTTGAAATCGCAAAGTGAACTGTGTGCTTCCACAACTGTTTAATTACAAGTCATTCATCTGGACATTTGGACTGCACATTGGAATGATTTCACTCTCGCGGAAAACGGAAACAGCCTTTACGAGTTCATCAGTTCAAACAAATTGGTTATGTAAAAATCGTTGGTAAAAGTTGTTTAAGTCACGCAAAAATCCCCCCCCCCCCCCCCCCCAAAAAAAAAAAAAACAGAAAAAAAAAGTAAAAAACATACCATGAGAGAGATAGATCTGTGATCCGCGCCTAGAAAGCTTTTTAAAAGTGATTCTTAAAAAACGACTAAGTAGGAAGCCATTTGTTTAATTGACAAATGTGTCTTGATTTATTCCTCAAAGTCAATAAAACTATCTTTTCAAATGAAGTGTTACAAGTCAATGTATTTATTCTTTTCGCCCCATATTAGACCATTAAAAAGTCATAAAGTTTCAAATTTGAAGGAAAAAAAAGTGACCATTAAAAAATTGAAAAAAAATATCAAATGTTCCAATGAACGGTCTGTTCAATCCGCTTCACCCTCTTCATCTTCCAATGGCAGAGAGTTGGCAGATTCTTCCTCTGCATAATGGGAAGACATTCCTGGTTCCCTTTCAGCACTAAGGCCAGGAATACCAAGTTCAGGAATTCTATGTATAAAGAATCCCTTGGCCAAGTCGAAAACCCAGCCAAGTTCTCTTCTTGCTTCGTCCAGTTCCTCTTGAGTTCTTTGAGTGGTAAATAAGAAGATACTCAGCGCTTCCATGGTTTGCATTAAATCCCGCATTGTCTTCACGTTCTTTAGAACACTTGGGATATATAAACCAGGCACTAGAAATAAATGAATAAAAGAATGAGATGATGGATGAAGAGAAGGAGTCAAGTTGATTGCAAGGAAGAGGAATACATGAAAGGAGGCAATGAACATCCTCCACATACATACTTGGCTGGTTTGTTGAATGGCTGCCACTCGCTGCCTCAGTATCCAATGGAATCGCAGGACGAGCCTCGTTGTGTTGTTCCTCTTCTGTTTCCTTTTGGGCTTCTCCTCCGTGTTTGGTTCTTTCATCTTTTTCTTCTTTCCCTTCGTTCGTTTCTTCTTCTTTCCCAACAACATCATCTTCTTCTTTGAGGACAAGGTTTTCAGGTGCAGCCTCGGGTGTAGTCTCCGTTGATTCGTTCCTCTCAACTTGAGGAGACTTGAGACAGTTAGTATCGTTTCCTTCGGTGATTTGAGTCTCACCATTCTCCTCTTGGGCAATTTCTTCAAAATCCTTCAATCTTGTGCAGTTAACGCGAGTCATGTGGTCCGATGAGATCACGCAGCTTGCTGTTTTAGGGTCAACAATGGACATTTTATGGGCTTTCTTGAGAACCCGCTTTTCTCTCTCTGCAGACGAAACATCAAATTCTCCAAACTTTCCATCTTCAACAATGTTTTCGTCGTTGTTCATAGTGAATAGCTTGTAGGTTACATAGCCTACGGTAGCTAGTCCTCCAATAACAGCTCCTCCAATCAGAACCGTCTTCAAATTGATTTTTTCAAACATT